ATTCTAGCTTTTTGCCTGGATGTCACACAATCATGATTTGTTGTTTGAGAACTCTGCTGTGGTTGCTCGATTTTGTGCTCTGTGTTTTATTAGCATACTAATCATTTCCGTGTCACGACTATAAAAGAGACATTTGCTCTACTTGTGGTGTAGGGGATAAAACTGAAAATATTGTCTCAGAGGGGTTACAAATGATTATGAAATTACATTTTGCAGCTTTCAGAGGCATTAACAAAATTATGTTTCAAATTATAAAAAACATAAAATTGGTTACAAATGAGAGGAAGCCATCTGGCCCACCTAGCTTGTATTTTCTTTTTTTTTGGTATCCGTACATTTGAGATATGAAGCCTTAGAATCTTATTTCTGTCTGTACGTGATGATCTAGAACATGCAGGTCTTTGTGCTCCCTGTGTTCCCTAAAAACAGTGTTTTGGTTCACTCGTATGCAACATTGGAATGCAAAACTGAAGACACAGGAAAAAAGACAGTATAGGATAGGAAGAAAGGATATAAAAAGTGCATGGCGTAAATCCATGAACTCCAGAAAAAGCTGTTCTTGTGCCTTTAAAGGGTTTCATATAATCTGGATTGCTCCTTTGAATGGTCAGTTTTGTTTGTGGTGTAGTTCGACCCCTGAGGACTTTACACTTCATAGTGGCTGAAGTCACGTTCCCTTCCAATTGATGAGTTAACGCAATCACAATCACAACTCTTTGGTGACAGCCATTTTATTGCTGCTCTCTGTGTAATGTACGTATTGACAATGAGCTGAAGTAAAACTGGTTATGGGAAGCCATGTAGACACATTAGCTCTTCAAATGGTTTCATTTTATTTAATGTAGATTTTCAAATTAGTAATTTCATGGTAGCAAAAAAGAAAGAAACATCGAGCATAATTGGCCGTTAAAGAAAATTATTTTTACTGCAGGAATGGAAATGTATTTTCAGGAACAAGGAGCCAGTGCCTTTATATTAGGCCTAATAAAGTATTGATATTCCAACTGCTGCTGCCTTCGAGTTTGTCTTACTCTGTATTTCATTGACAATATAAATGACAAAATAATGGACAATGGGTTCTGAAAAGCAGTGTGGCTACTGCAGGGTTATTCTGAAGTGTTTCTATTCACTTTAACAGAGCACACTGCCTAGGTTGCCTAGCAATATAAGTTGCCGAGAACATGCAGGAGTTTGGTTTAAAAACAAGCTTTAATCCTAAGTCATTAAACTGGAATCCTTAGACAAAGTGCAGGTGGGCTTCTGTAGAGCCCAAGAAATGTTTTTTTTAACTCGTGGCCAAATGTATCATGCACCTCACTCAGGAATTCAAATGCTTTAATCTTTTCTCAGGTTTAACAATATACCCTGTTCTCTGTTTAGTCATTTGGTTTTAGATGTGGGTTGTAGCTTTGTAGAAACCATATGATTTATACTTGTCCTTTTTAGTTTAAGAAATAATCTTTAAATTGGCTGAAACAAAGGTAACATACAGGAACAAATGACGTCCACGGACAGTATGAATAAGTCTCCTGCAGTATATTTTATTTTTACTTCTGTTCTCACAAACTGAATGTTTTTGTAGTTTCCACAGTCCCAGATAAAGGTCTGTCAAGTACTGTATCTGGATTCAACCTTCAGAGTTAGAAACCTTTTGTTATAGTAAATATAGATTATTCAGTGGAAAAGTGGCTTTATTTGATAAGATTTGATAAGTAACACTTTTGATAAAGGACTGGATAAAATTTATTTGGCTGCATGTACTACTCAACTAGACTGAAGGTCACGACATGATGAGAGACTACTAGCACCTGTTGTCACGGTTCAGTGTTAATCCAGACGTTATTTTTCAGGTACAAGTGTGAGGGACAAGGGACTTATATTTTGCTAAGTCATCATGGGGTGTCATATGAAGTTACGTCACATGCCACCCTAAACTGTAACATACAAATAAGCCTTTCAGTCTCTCAAATTTTCAGGTGTTTCTGTTCAATCTCACAATTGTAAGACCTCCACAAACACTTTCTTCTGAAGTGCCAGTGTCTATAGCCTGACCTCCAACACAGACTGCCACATCTCAGTCAGGGAATTAACTAAGACTCACCTCAACTGAGGAAGTCTGCTTCTAGGACATCATGTAGTTAATGTAGTTAATAGGAAGGGACACTTTAGCAAGAATAAAGATTACAGTGATGAGTGCTCTGGGGAGGGGGACAAAACAGTGAGAAATCTTATATCACAGCATAAAACATAAAGATTTCAATGAACAGCTATGCAGGCCATTCTTGAATATGTACAATACATTAGAATTAATGTATACCTATAGGTATCACTGTTGGAAAAGAAATATAGACTAGAAATACAGAACTCTTATATTTTAGTGAGATATACAGTTTCTAGCTTAATTGGAAGTTACAATTAAGGGAGGTTTATATTAATTCATTACTTAGAACACCTAAGGCAAATGGAAGAAGTATTCTATATAGTGTTTTACCCTAAAGCTACTGTTCGTGTGTTAACACACATTCTGATTTAGTCATTTCACCCCATCACTTGAATGATATAACAACATATATAGGCATGTATACAATGGCTATGCCTCAGCACAGTTCCTTTAACATTATGGTTCCTACTATTTCATCAGAAATGACCAGACTACCAATTACCATTATCAGAATGCAGCCTGTCCACACAAGGGCTTCAGCAATCTCAAAAGCACAGGGCATCAAGCAGGCCTGAAATCACGCAACTGAGTTCTCCCTGCACATGTTGGCCCCCCTTTTGCCGGTGGGAGGAAGCTGGAGTACCCAGAAAAGACCCATGAGCAGAACATGCCAACTCCACACGAACGTGTGCCTCAGCCAGAACCAGGGCTAAGGAGCACTGAGGCACCATCATACTGTCAGCAGTAACCTTCTATTTATGCACAGAAGAGTACATATCAGTGGTATCGACTAACAAGACCACGCAGGTTTACTTGCTTTGCATCTCCTCCTGGTGGCTAAAAATAGTATTTGTGGTTCCAGCGATGTGTTTTTTTTATTTCAAAGGTAAATATCACAATGCATTTAGACTCTGTTCAAATGTCTATTTTTCACCAAGTTTGAAGCCTGGAGTTTTAAGCCAAGGTATTGTGAGCTATTAAATATTTGTTTTTAATATCGAGCTTGCCGGCTGTACAGAGCAAAGAGATGTCAAGGCGTGAACACTATTTAACCTCCACTATTTTCTTGAAGTGGCTGGTAAGACGTAGTGGGCACGCAGAGCACACAAACATGGACAGAGACATGCAAAAAAGCTCCGAGCTAAAATGGAATGTCTTCCATTTTAATTTCTGAAATAAGTGAATTACAAGGTTAAAAAAAAAAATGTGCATTTTATTTCCTTTAGGGATTTAGAATTATACAGCAGAGAAAAATGAGTTTGTGGGGGGGGTTTCTGCACTACATCTGCACCAAGTTTCCTAGAGTCTAGGGACCTGAAGATGATGCTAACTGAATGCTCATTTTGTGTTTGTGATTGTTCAAGCCCATGGGCTATATGCACTAATGTGAGCTAATGCAATAGATTACACAGCATAAGCCCCAAGGAAAAGACAGCAAACAGATGTGGTATACTTAAAAAAAAGTTGAAAGTCTTTAATGTGCTCAAGACTGTCCCTTGTCATTTGGTGTTGACAGAGAACAGCATTGTGATGTGTTTTGCATGTTGCTCCTTTTCAGGGTTTTGTACTATGGGCATTAACAATACAGCAAACCCACATGGGTGTTTCCTGTTGAGAGGGAGAGCAAGAGAGAGAGGAAAGAATATGGCAGGGTGTTTACAAGATTCAGGGGAATTCAAATTAAAAAGGAAAAAAATTACAAGTTTTGAGAAAGGCCACTTTATACATTGTCCTATGAGGATATAAACAGGCATTTTTTCAGCTGCCAACTCTTTTATAGAAAATCTTATATAACCTGTAGTGATAAGAGAAACCATATCCCAAAACTTTCACTAAGCATCTTTTCACACCGATTTGAGATAAGGCTAAATTTGTTTTCAGCAGTGGAAATGTATCACAGCCTCCCATAGATCACGTATAAACCCATGGTTTAGTGGCCCGATACTACCAAGAAAAAATAATAAATGACCTAGTCATGTGACATATACAATCTTCCTCGCGTGAAAGTGGAATAGCTCATTTTAAAACCGGATTTTTAAAAACAAAAGGTAACTAGCACTGTTTTAGCATCCTGAGTTTAAACGGGAATTGTTGTAAACACTGCCCTCTAGTGATGAAACGTCATCTGCTCATTTGAAATCAAAGTGCACCACATTTTTGCATGTAGTTTTGAACCTTTGAACATATTTAGGAAGACCAACTTCTTTAATATAAATGTTTAATGTAAATAAATTCCATTGAATGTTGCTCAAACAAGCTTTTGAGCCCGAGAAACACCACTTGACCTTGACCATTGAACAAATATTCAATTTACACTTTAAGAGCATATAGAGCAAAATTAGTCTACTAAAATCTTCAAACATCAGGAAAAACAGCTGCATAACTGCAATCCTCTTCACAAAGGTCCCCTACCGTTATTCTCGTTCTGACAGACAGTTATACCTTGATATCATATCAGCACTGCTATTTCAAACAAAACTAACTCAGTACGCAAAAAGTTTCTTCTGCTTAATAAATGAAAAAGGGAAGTAAAAATTCTAGTTTGCAGAAGCCAAACCCCAAGTTTGGGATCATATATTTTTGCCTAGGTTAGGCTTCTAAATGATGAAAATATTCTAGGACACTTTTGCTGTGGAATCATTACCTCTTAGACCTTTGTTGGTTTACAGCTGCCTTTTAGTTCTTTGTTGGCCATATGATAAGCAACATGTTTTTCAAATTTTTACTATTAAGTGTCATGAATTGAATTTGGTGCCACTACACAAGGAAATGTAAGTGTTCTATTTGTATGATGAGAAACAGATTTGTACAAAAATCAAAAGAATGACACACACCCAAATTGCAAAACACTAGATCTATATTTACAAGTGAATGCAGTGACAGGTTTCATCTGAAGTACAGCAGACAAATTAAGTATACTGCTTACACCCAAGTTACTTCAGGTTTCACACATCATGAAATAAATAAAATAACAAATGGTACCTTAATATTCAAACTGTATATTACACTGTAAGAAGACTACATTTATCCCAGTGCATAATACTGATGGATTCATGTCATTTCATCACTTTAGGTAGGCTGACTTTTTCAGCAACTACAATGTTTATAAAAACTAGGATTTGCACTCTAGTTTTAATTACTTTTCCTGCAAAAAGTAACAGGATTTATCCTACAAACACCCTAGTTTTTAACTTTAAGTTTTAGACACTTCTATTATTTCAAAAAAAAAGAAAAAATGGAATATATTCAAACATACCAAATGTTAAATATTTTAAATAGAAACGCATAAAAAGCTATTTTAAAAAAAGGTAGAAATGCATTTCTTGTATTGAATTTTAATTTTGCGTTTCCAATAGCTAGATTGACCCCCATTTAAAGTCAGTTCATAACTCATTAGCTGTAACAAACGACAGCTGAACACTGCTCATGTTGTTAAAGTGGCCAAAAAACCTTGAAGCGAGAGGGGAAAAAGCAGCAACAGGTTCACAATAAATATTGGTAACTGAACAATTTTATATCAAAACTGTATAAACTAGCAAAATATTCCATGAAAGTGCAAAATTAAAAAATATATATATTGGATATGTACATATGGCTCAGCTCAGGAACAAGACCTAACTAGATTTAAACAAATCCAGTAATACAATCATGTATTGACAGATTCTATTATGAAGAGAACCATTTAAGTAATGTTACTGAGGCAATTCAACATTCTGATTTTGTTCTGCAAAGTCTAAAAACAACTATGCATTATATTCAGATAGAGCAACAGGTATATAACAGGTCTTTGGGTTCATTTAGCACAATCTTAATGATCGATCTGGAGTTGCACACACATTTGAACATGGTGGTGCTATTGTGCGAAATCATAAGACAACAATGCAATTGATTAAAATACAGCATTCAGGAGAAATTCACATTTCCAATCCACATCCTATTGTAAGAAACAGACATATAACAACGTACCAATATGAAACTGTACACTGAGCAATGTTTCAAGTTTAGACCAGGACAGATAGGGGAAAAAAAATCTTATTTTTGTATAAACACTTTAACACCACTTTTTCCAACAACAAAAAAATCAATTTACTTTCCTAAGGGTGCTAATCTATCAAACTCAAGGGAAAGGATTCAGATGGTGCTTCATGTTAAATCATATGAATACAAATTTAGACAAAATGTACCTGAAGGCCAATACAGATTTCTTTCACTGCAAGGGATGTTAATCCAATCTTCCCAGTAATTCATAATCTCCATTGCTCAACTGCATACCCAGCAATGCTTATTAAAAAAAAAACTAATACAGGAATACAGTTGTAACAGTAGTATTGTGGAAGTAACAAGAGTCACATCCAGAAACATAAAAGGCAGAGGACTATTTTAAAAGCAGTGAAGAAAAGCATTTATCAGTGCCTGCTATTCCTTGAAAACATACCTACTTTTTCATTGTTTCTGCACAACTGATAGTCTGGTCTGAATCTAAACCTGAGTGTGGTTTTAACCAAGTAATTGTTCAACATGAAGGATGCAAAGGAAGGTTATTTCCACATTGAAGAGCAGAATTCAAAGTTTCCCCAGACTAGGCAAGTAAATATTACAGATCTATCCAAAATCTCAGTGTCGCTGCAGATAATGAATTAAATCTCACTTCAAGGAGAAATAGATCCCAGGTACAAATAACTGTTTTAGGACATTGTGTGGAAAGAGCACAATGCAAGGTTTAGTGTAAAGCATTACCTAACACTTTGTGCCAAAAAAATCTAGCTGAAGAGTACACTACATTATTGAATTTCACTGTTTATTTGTCCAAAAGGATCTGTAATTAAATTGTGTAACTTCAAAATAATAGTGCATTAAACTGATGGTGTATATTATTTTTTTTTGGGGGGGGGGTTTGGTCCATGTCTTCAATATAAGGTTTTTTCATGTAATATAGTGAGGAAGAGCAAGAGTAGTGTTTTAAATCACAGATTAACCCTGTGAGTCTGTAAAGGCAGGTTCACCTGTAATTCTGCTGTTTCACCAACACTTTATGTGATGAACTACATGGCGACTTCTACACTCCTCATTGTAAACGGCCATTTAGAGAACTAGGGTAGAAAGGGGTGTGTGCAACAGTATTTAAGAAAATCGCTGGTCTTTAGTATAACAGGCCCCCCATACCTGGCATGTTCTTGATCTTTGCTCAAACCAATGGGAGACATGGCTCCTTTAGCAAAGTTGAAATGAATCCTTCTGAAAGAGCTCAGTAACAATGTGCCCACGAAGCCTCTGAAAGCAACTCTAGGAAGTCATTCCTGGCACTAAAAGGCGAGTGAGAGCCAGCACAAGCAGCTAACAGGCAAGTCTGTCAGCTCCAGCAGAGAATAACCAACATTCAGAACTATTCACGGAAGCAAAAACCGAACCAGGAGAACCTGCCTAGGGGTGCAAAGTGTTCCATCATAGCCTGGCCAAACGGTCCTTTTACATCATCGAGCACTTAGAATACAGTACTTCTATACAACCAAGTGTTTAGAACACTGACTTCCTCAACAGAATGCATTTTTAAACTTTATTAACATTATAATTACTATTAGAAATTCTTTGCAGAAATCACTGCACAGTGCCTCTTATCTGTTTCTGCACCACTGCAGGCCAGCTTCAAGCCCATTTAATTCTAAAGCACTTAAAAAGTGGAAGAAAAAAAAAGATTTACCCTTTATAACTAAAGGATGACTAAGTCCTACTGGACCTGGAAATGGTTTTAAGTTTATACATCGTATTTATCGTGACCTGAATTCCACAGATATAACTCAAGACCGCTATTATGTCCCCACTCCTCAAATCTCTCTAGGCACAAACTTTTTTTTTTATTTGAGTTCTAAATATAGTGAAGCTTTAACTGATTTGAAAGTTAAGTTGTGTATGCAAAGATACATTTACACATGTTTTTGTAATGGCACTGCCAACACTATAACAGTAGTGTTTCCGATATGTACAGGTCACAGCTTATTCCAGTGGGTTGAATCTCTCTTTTCCTCTAGGCTTCCATGTTGTGAACGAAATGGAAGTCATGGAGTCTTCAGCATTCAAACCTAAAAAAAAAAAATACAGAAATTAGAGGGCATTTTTCCCCACTCGCATACTAATTTCAAGCAATTTGCAGCAAGTACAGGAAGGTTAATCAAGAAATTTACCATCATCTGTCACATCATATTTTAAGCATTCTTATCAGCAGGTCCGCAGCGTGCATTACTCATAGGGCTGGGATTGTTTCTCCTTTGTAGTACACTTGAGTAATGCTGATAGAGCGATGGTCTGTTCCCTGAAAGGAAAAAAAGACAGCTTAATTAAAGTGTCATCAAGAGCATTATGAAAGGCTTTCACTCGCATAAAAACAGTGGTAGTGATGCTTACAGAAATCATAGGTGGAGAAGATAAATCAATTCAATTGAAAAAAAGTTGATTACCTTTGCGCAATAAGGAAATGTTTGGAGAAATGCAATCTTAAATGATTAAATGATCTCAATAGGTCTTAATACAAAAGGGTGATCAAACAAATTCCATTTCAAATAAGGAAAAAGCACGTCCATGAACCTAAATGATTATTTCCTTCTTTGTAAGTGTTTATTAGAAGGTTAATTTAAAAGTATCCTAAGCAGTTCTGCTGCGAGGACACTAGTTCCACATGGAGAGTTCCGAGCTTTTTTTCATGACTCTGTCAACAAGGTCCATCAGGCAGCAAGTCAGGCAGACTAACACAACAGCAGAGTGCCAGAGAGCCGATGTGAGGATAACACAGGATGAGGGATTCCAGAGCACTTGTGTCTCCTCTGGGCAACAACAACTGGCACGGTGAACAAGCCATAATGGAGGTCTCATAGCTTAATTAAGTTCACCAAGTGGAACGCATCTCCTCATGTAACACTCGAAACAGGCTTTTAAACCGAGTCTCCAGTCAGTTTGAGAGCAAGGCTTCATTTACAGTAAACTATGTTGCCAGAAAAACCACATCCTTACTCTTCAATTACTATTTTATAGTTTTTGCTTTGCTTTTTTTTTTCTTTAACCACAAAACCTGACTAAGGATTATATTCTTTAAATAGGAGGTCAAAAAGGGGTATGTGATTTACAGTAGTCAGAAAAAGTAATATTAAGATGCTTGACATATCAAAGAGTAACCTACTGATTTTCAATGTTTCATTTGCATTTTCCAAATAAACATTCCAAGTAACCACCCTGTGTTCTGTGCAGTGTTGCATGGCCTGATAATCACAAATCTACTATACCTAAAATGACAGTTATAAAGGATAGTCTAAATGCCATCAACCGTAGTAACAAAGACCAGAGACGTATAACCAATAACTTAGAAAGTGGTGCTTGTATGGGTTTTGAAAATTTAAAAATGTAATAAAATGATAAAATTCTTTAAAGGACAATATTAGCTCTAAGAACAGGAAATACCAGCCTGCACAGTGAAGACATTTATCCAATGCTGACATTAAGCCCTTGATCTCTGTAAAGTTATTCTTTATACAGAACAAGGTCTGTTACAGCCAGACCACTAAACTAATTTTTACGGAGCCAAATTTAAAACCACTCCATTTAAAAAAAGGGTGATGAGGATAATGTGCAAAACCTCTCCTTTTATTACTTAGACAACCAATGGTGAAACCCAGATAATCTACTTGTTTAGTTCTGTTAGTCACATTCCCTGTGACATGAGCTAATACAATGAACCGAAATTAATCTCATCCATCACTGAAAAGTGCTTTAGCAAGACGTCGTATAAACTTATAATCCTGCATTTACACGATAAGACAGTACACGCGTGATTTTTGTTAAATGCCGGGCCAGACGCCTTTATCCACGACGACCTACTTACACATTTAGAAATACACGTTTTTAAGTAAAGGACAGGTGCATAACCCTTTGGAGCTCAATTTTAAGGACAGACGCATACCTTCTGATGCAGCAGACGCAGTTCCCTGGCTAGCACTAGACACTCCTGTGTTGTACAGCGAAGCGAGGTCACTCGGGCTGTATGACCGCAGGATATTTATTACTTTCCAATCTGGATCCATTCCATTGGCCGACGTTGAAGAGACCGGCTTGACTGGCGAAAAGGCATGAGGCATTTTGGAAGGCGGGCTTGCCTGCGATGAGGATTTCACACCCCGTCCCACAGACAGCAGCCTGCCATAGCTATCCCCTTTCCTCAGCCCGGCTGTCTCCGAGGTTTCGCAGACCGGCGCCCCGGAGAACTTGATCCTCTTGCTGGAGGGCTCGCCAAAGTCTACGGGTGGTGGGTTTCCAAACCGGCTGGAGAGGCACGTTCTCGCCGCGTCGCTGGGCCACACGATGCCATTCCGCCCCTGCTGGCTCTGGGGCCCGGGCCCTTCTCTGTCCGCAAGGGTCTGCCTTATGGAGACCACAAAATTGCCCCTCTTGCCGTGGGCTTCGGGATCTCTGGGTTTTTCCGAGAATCTCGACTGGCCTTGCCGGACATCGGTCACCCCGTGGCGGAGGCTGCTGCCGTGAGCCTCTCCCATCCAGTAGCGCTGTGCGTCGTGATGGGCCGCCTTGCCGCAGTCGGCCTCGGGGGCGCGCGCGGCTGCCTGAGAAGGCCGGGCTGGCTGCGTTTTCTCCGCTGGCTTGGCTGCCTGGCGAGGCGGAGATTTGGTCCGGCGAGGATATTTCCTGGAAAACGGCGGCAAGGGTTGAACGTCATTTCCCTCAAGAGCAGGTGGGCAGCCGGTGTGCCGTTTCTGTTTGAGGGCAGCTATGGAGCTTCTTAGGCCATTTTTCTTCGGAGCATCAAGCTTTTCTTTATGTACCAATTTCTGGTGCATTAGAAGGATCTCTGGGTATAGAGTTTTGTAAGTACACAAAGGACAGGTATTGGTGAGTAATGTGCTCTTGGGCACCGAGGTAGCAGAAACCGAAAGGGACATCTTAAAGGACAAATCTAATGGCACCTCAAATGACTCTTCTTTCATTTCTTTGTCTTCCATCTTTGAGTCGAGAGATAAGGCATGTTTTTTAAGCGCTTCGTCACTCGAGCCTGACGGATGACCAGCTGCAACAGCTGAATTCTCACAATCTGTTTTAACTGCACTGCTCTGTGTAAGTTGGCAGGAATTCTTGATAACAGTCTTGCTTGAGCCCAGATCGCTCTGAATCCCGACATGAGATGCGTTTTCGGACCCCGCAGTGGACAAAGGCCACGATTTAGACTGCTTTGCATTATGGTTGTCAGCTGCAATTCTGGCGATCTCCTGAGACGATTTCTCCTTGGCAGGCGCAGACCCGTCGGGTGCTGGTGACGCTGGAATTGGCTTACTAGAGGGCTCAGCAACAGGCTGTTTGTCTTTATGACGCCTCTCCAAGTGGTATCTCAGTGAGGTCTTCTGAGCTGCAGCATAATCGCAGAATTCACATTTATATGGTTTTTCCCCTGTGAAGAGAGGAGAAAAACATCAGTGTGGAGGCCACAATGACACTTACATTGGCCTAACAGCAAGGGGATTATCACAGTCACGGAATGAAACGTCTGATATTTTCGTCACAAGTAGCATCATCCAATGAAAATTCTTCACCGATGTAACTGGTTAAGATGGTTGTTGGTTTTGTGTTCATGCTGAGCTCCTAATCATCAGCGTTCTTGTCTTTAACTGATCTGCTTATAGAGATTTTTATATAAAAATTCCTATGATGTTGTTATACTTACTTCCCAATTGCGTTTTTTTACTTCATCTTGCAGCTACAAGTGTGGATGAGATCATTAGACTAATCAAAGATGCGCCAAATGGCCTCCGTTCATTTATAACTTCTCTCATGTTCCTAAAACGTGCTCTTCTGAAACATATTTCTTAAATATTCAAGATTCAATGGTGCAAAACACCAAAATTAAAATAATTGTTCATAAAAACCACAGGTTACCTGTATGTGTCCTGAGATGAATATTGAGGTAATAGTTTGAACGGAAACTCTTTCCACAGTAGCTGCATTCTTTTGAGGATGCAAGAATTTTCATCTTTCCCTTTTCTGAACCATCTTCACTTTTATCTGTGTAGAAGACAAAATTATATTCAGATTAAACTGTGCACAACACATGCTGACAAAACGCCATTTAGCTCCCAACTGAAATAACCCCAAACGCTGTTTTGCAACAATTTTGCTATTTATATACAAAGACGTATTCGGGCTAATTTAAGATGCACTGCTGTTGTGCTTTGAAAAGAGTGGAAGTTTTAAATGTGCATCATACTAAATACCACTACTAGGATTCTGCAGATCTGGGCATTGTGCAAATTTTCCAGAGGTTAAAATCAGGTCACTACAAAGAAGTTTATCCCGCTGATACAAGCCAATACAGGTTGGGCAGCTGCCCAATGTGGGCAGGCAACAACCCGAGAGATAAAAGCTTAAATCAGGAACTCTCAAGGAAAAAAACGTGCTGATGGTGATTAAAAAACCTAAGGAGTTTGTTTTTCTTGCTTGTAATGTGTCTACACCAGCAACTAACACCAGAGGGGGCTGAAACCAAGACAAAGGAATAAGTATAATACTGTGCAATGGAATGAAGAATGAACCCAACTTTAAAAAAACAATTTAACTTCTTTGTTCTTAAGTTTTTCTATTTCATGCATAAGCAATTTAAAGTATTGAACTTCCATACTGTATTTGACTTTCATCTGCATCGTAACCCCTTTCAAATATATACTTATAACATCATTTTTGTAGTAAATCCTACTGGGGGAAAAACAGTGGAGAACATGTATAGACAGCTCATTTCATTTCATTCCAAAACTTGCATACCTCAGAAATATGAAAAGTAGGAAAAAAAACTACTGCACTGTATAACATGAATGCAGCTTTCTCAATTCCTGCTAGTTCACAAAAACCGTTTTCATTTGCAAGTGTTGTGGTTTGTTCTGTAGGTAGTGGTGTATCATGTGATGCAATATGTTTGAGATAGATTACATTTATGTCAGACACAAGGTGAAGCTTAATGTTTGAGTTTATCACTGTACTTTATTAGAAAGGGGCTGGTGTGTCAGGACATACAGCTGCCATTTTGATATGGGTTAGCAGCTAACAGACTGTCCAGA